GAGAGAGAGAGAGAGAGAGAGAGAGAGATTATGAATAAATATTAATTAGCATATTTACATTGCCGATTGGTGCCGACGCATATGGTATACCCAAAAATTGACGGTAACTGTATCCAGCCTCTACTTTTTGAACACCTTTTAATGTACCATGATTAGTCTGTAAAATTACATCAATGTTGTTATTAGTTACTTCATTATTACGTATCAAATAATTAAATAATAAATAAGTTGTGGTTATTATAAATAAAATAAATATAATCACAAATAATTTTAAATTCATTATAAATAATGATAATTTAAAAATATTTTATTTATATTTTAATGGAAACTCATTTTATCAAAAATATTTGTGACAAATAAATCACAAATTATAAATGTTTTATTGAAATAACCTTTTATTATGATTTTAATTGAAATCAATTGTTGAGTTCATTCTTATGGTTAAAGTCTTGCTTAACATTTTATTAAATCTGTTAACAATAAGGAAATAATTGCATAATTTTAGTTTATTTTAATTTAATTTGTTTGAAAAAATCTTATGCTCGGATAAAATATTATCTCATTATATATGTTAAGCGTTTATTTGCATATTTAGTTATAGTATAATATATTGAATTAGCGTTTTGTCGAAAATGAAATTCATTATTAAAATTAAATAATGGTGGACTCCAAGAAAAACTATGACAAGATTTAATATAAGGTCTAATGTAATAATGATAGGGTGTTACAGTTTCTAATAATATGTTGTACTGTAGTTATTTAAATATAAAAATGTGACGATTTTATTAGCAAACTTTTTATTAGCAATCTCAATTTCTATCGTCTCATGTTAAATTACACAACAAAACAATGAATTACATATTTGTATAATTTAAATTAACATCATGTTCTTAAAAACAAAATACAATTTATATGCAATTAAATTATAAAATGTAATACATGGACAAAATGATTCATTCACTGTCGTTATAAATTAAGTGTAATTTCCTGCATTTAACTATAAAATATTTTTCATTTATATATTTTAATTACATATACAGTATAATATAAGACGTGTGGTATCGCTGGTAATCAATGTTAATAATACATACACTACACACAGGAAATTCTCATTTAATATAACATCAAACTATTGATAAGAATTACATAACAGCGTACAATATAATCCCTTATAAGTGCATTATAATTATGGTTATATAATTAATTGTTTAAATATACAGAAATCAATTATTGATAAATTATTTTTCATAATATTTACACTATTAATATATCACTCCTAATGATTAAATTAAACTTGCCATTTATAGTAAACTGTATATGTACAGGGCTGCTAACTGTACAACCATAATGATCAGTGAATAACATGTTGAGTGGTTTATATACTTATAATTGTGATGCCACATTTATTTTAAACTTTGCTATGGTGATTTGATATACATCAATCAAAAAAGTATTAATTCATTGTATCATTGTATCATACTTATAAAGTAATTTCATTTTTTGTATGTAATATTTATTCAGATATAAAAACAACAGACAAAAAAGATATTGTCATTGAAATAAATGCATGTATTAAAGTTGAAAACAGTATTTATAATTTAATAATACTGTTAACATTTAATTACATCTACATTTAACATCAATCATCAAAATGTGTATTTGGATACCATTGAGCGCACCGGTAAACGATGGTCAGCACACGTGGCTGGAGTTGTGGGCCACACGCATTTGCACGGTGTTGGGTCTCGTGCTCTTTATCAACGCATTCATTGCAATATTTTGGCCATGGTGCATTCCACCCGCACTCATGCAAATGTATGTCTAACTCATTGTTATTATTTTTATTACATAATTGTGTTTGTAATAAATAGTGAGTGAGAGAGAGAGAGAGAGAGAGAGAGAGAGAGCTACACTAGTATTTAAATAGTAATTTGTATTTTTGTATTAATCTAACTTAACAATATTTACTAATGTATGATTGCATATGACCAGGGTGGCATCCGTAATAATCATAAGCATAGAGGGGCCCACATTTGTGGAGTTCCTGGCATTCGCGGCGCCAGTAAGCCGTTTCTTTGACGACAAATCGCCCTGGACTAAAGTGATAGTTTACGCTACACTGACCATGCTGCCATTTATCATCGGGCTCAGTATAACTTGTTTTAGTATAGCATTTATTGTAGGTTTTTTGAACTCACTCGCAGTCACATTAATTTACATATTCCTGATCCGATCCGCATCCACCGGTCGGGCCAATAATGTTGAGGCCTATGGGGGCGGACCCCCGCCGGTGGTTAGCCCAACCGCACAGTCATTCCCCGCCTCAGCGCCGACTACTAACACTACATGATTTATTATGTTTTAAAATATATTGTACATTAATTCAATAATTTTTTAATTATTTTAATGTGTGAAAACAATATATTTAAATTTTCAATCATTACATATCATTTTAACTAACATTTATTAATAACATTATATAAATAACTTAAACAACTTAAATATTAATGAAACAAATTAAAAAATAAAATAAAATAATGATTATCATTAAAATATTAAATACTATTTTATAAGTGATCCCACGATTACTAATACTTGGTTCTGGCGGTGAACCTCTGGCTTAAGAAGTTGTAACCCAAGAAGACTGAAATGCAGAGTACGGCCGGAGTCTCAGTCCTCTCCAAACGGGCCGACATGTAATACTTGAGTAAACGGAACTGTATTTTGCAAAATAAATAATATGTATAATTTATTAAACATTCTAAATTAACAACATGCCGATCTATAAGACTCCGACTCTACTGTTGAATTAAACTGGGTAAACGTGTCGCACAGATGTGTGGGCGCCGCCCGTGACTGTTCATTCACTGACATCATTTTTGATAAGGTAATAATAATTAGGGTAAATCTTAATATAAGCATCAATACATCGGCGGACATCACCCTGATCATACCGGGGCCCAGTGTACTGGTCACTGGGCGGCCCCAATAGACAGAAAACAAAAGCATTATGTCAACCGCGTCGATGAACATCTCGATAATTAGCGTGATGATAAATGTTGACATAACTAGATTAAGCGCCTTATTGATAGCAACTATGTTGTCGGCGTTTGTTTTAAACTTGCGCTTTATTTCGCGCAACCGACCCAACTCGACCGATCCGTCTGGGGCTGTGTTGGCCGAGTTCAATATAAATTCATTTAGCTCGATGCATTTGCAATGTATGGCCTTGTTCAGTAAATTTTAATTAATTTTATGTGATTAAAAATAGGCATTTTAAAATTGTTATCTAAGTCTACTAGTAGATTCACACCAATCAATAAATATTATATGAATATTAAAAACTTACCGAGGCGAATGTTAGATAAACTACAAACAACAATGTGGTAGCAATACTAAAATACATATAACCAAAAAAGTCCAATTTGCTTTCGGTTGTGATACCATGTTTGTGTCTCCAATCGTAAGTCGAGTAGCTGATTGAATGAATAGCTAAAACTATAATAAAAATTGTAGTCATTCTGATCACGATCAAGTGGCGATTTAGTTGCTGTGTGCTATCAAACCGGTTAATTAAATCACGTAGAACATGACCGTTAAACCAAAATAGAGTGACCGGTAGCGCTATGGGCAATAAATTAATCAAATCGCCTATGGTAACCAAGACGTTTTTGGGCACAGCTCCCACAAACAAAAGCGTGTTTACGATATCGCCTACTTGGTACATTAAATAACAATCTATAAACAGTGCGATACCCAGCGATAAAATAGTAATCGGCACTAAATTGATATTGGTAAATATATGCCGCAGCCATTTGCCGGTAGTGTCGATAGGGTAGGGACTATGTGACGCTGCGCTGAATACAGGGGCACCGGTCAACGCAAACGGGGCCATCACTATAGCAAAGGTGATGCGCCAGAAGTGTTGGGCACCGGGAGATGATTGTGCCCAATGGTCATCCCTGTCCGGTGTTAATTGACAGGTTTTTGTTGGCCATCCGGTGTCCAAATCTAGTCGTATCTGTTCTGAAGTGGATTTGGTGTTCATAATCCGTTGACTGTTTTTATTATACATGAGTAGTTTAAACTGGGCGTTTAATTTTAATACAACTAATAATATATGCTTAAAGTAACATTTAAAGGGTACAATCAAATCATTTCAAATGTTCATATTCCTTATAATAGTATTCTTGCATAATATTTATTTTTTGTGCCTGTTAAAATAGTTTGTATATTTAATTAGCTGTTTGTTTACAATAACTTTATTTGGAAAAATTTATCATTATAAAACAAATTAATTTTTTATTGTAATATTTAAACATTATAATGTGCAGAACTTTAAAGTTAATTTATAAATGTTGGATAGTTTATATAATTCCAGCTATAACGCTGTTTAATAATTTATTAATCTGAGAAAATTACATTATATAAATTCTATCCTTTTATTTTTATCATTGCATAACATAATGGAATTTAAATTAAATAATTTTAAATTTTATAAATTTTAGATAAATTTTTAATGAATTTATAAATTAATAGATTTTTATTTTTAAAAACAATAATTAAAATCCTTAATTTAAGGATAAAATCAATTAATTCTATAATAAATAATAATAGACATGATTATATAAAATACAAATTATTAAAACTGCTCTAGGTGTGATTGAATCATTAGTAGTTGGTTCGTGCGGTAAACCTCTGGCTTAGGAAACCAAACCACAAGAAAGCGGAAATGCAAAGTACGGCCGGAGTCTCAGTCCTCTCCAAACGGGCCGACATGTAATACTTGAGTAAACGGAACTGTATTTTGCAAAAATATATAAAGTGGTAAAGTATATTGTTTTTAAAATTCAAAATTGTTTAAAAAACTCGATATGTTTTATTACACTAAATAACTGACCAATTAGTAGAAATTACTCCTTTGAAAAGCCAAATATCTTAGAAATTATATCAGAAACATCTGATAGAAAATAATATTGATTTAACTCATTGTGTCTAAATAATCAATAATTGTGATTTTATATAGAAAAAGTAAATAAACATAATAAATAAATAACATACAGATCGATACGAATCGGACTCTACAATGGCATTAAAATGACTAAACGTGTCGCACAGATGTATGGGCGCCGCCCGTGACTGTTCATTCACTGACATCATTTGCAATATGATAATAATAATTAGGGTAAGTTTTAATATAAGTACCAATACATCAGCGGAAATAACCCTGATCAAATCAGGACCCAATGTACTTCCAGGAGGGCGCGTCCAGTAGGCAACAAACAAAATGATTGTGTCGTATGAATCTATAATCATTTCCACAATTAACGAGATGATAAACATTGAGTTGACAACATTGAACGAGCTATTAATAGCAACTATGTTGTCGGCGTTTGTTTTAAACTTGTGTTTAATTTCGCGCAAACGACTCAAGTCTGCTGTCCCATCTGCAGCGGTGTTGGCCGATCTTAGTATAAATTGATTCAGCTCGACACATTTACAGAAAATGGCCTAGGTACGTAGATTTTAAAGTTTATATGTTAATTAACATATTTAATTATTTTATAATTTATATTAGTAATAGACTTTACTAAAAATGGATTAATACTGTACTGTATCAGTAACATTACTGACTTACCGAGGTGAATGTCATGTAAACAATTATTAATAACGTGGTAATTATTCTAAAATATAATGTGGCAAAATATTCCAGATTGGTCTCGGTGCTGGCATGATGCTTAGATCTCCAAGCGTAAGTCACATAGTTAATTAAATGTATGACAAACACGAGTAAACTAATTAGTGTTATTTTAATAACAATTGGGCGACGATTCAGTTGAGATGTACTATCAAACCCACTAATTAAATTACGTATGACATGGCCTTTGAGCCAAAATAGGGTGACCGGCAGCGCAATGGGCAATAAATCTAACAAATCAAGTATCGTATCCCAAATGTACTCGGGTAATTCGCCAACAATCAAAAACATTTTAATAATATTGCCAATTAGATACATTAAATACCCATCTAGAAACAATGCTATACCCAGCGATATCATAGTTATTGGTAGTAGGGATATGTTGGTGAATATATGTCGCAACCATTTGCCAATAGTGTTGATAGGGTCGGGACAGTCGTTGTTGTTTATTAATACAGCGCTAAACACGGGAGCGCCTGTTAACGCAAACGGTGCCATTACTACTGCACAGGTGTTGCGCCAGAATTTACAGGCACCGGACGGTGTAGACACTACCCGGTGGTCATCTCTGTTTGCTGTTAATAGACGATTGGGTGTTGTTGTTGTCCACCCCGTGCTTACATCCAGCATATGTACTTCACTTAATTTGGATTTATAGTCCATATCTCTGTGTTTGTTTGTATTATATATTATCAAGTTTTATATTTATTTAAACTTTAGTTTTAGTTTTTTAAATTTAACATTAAAAAATACAATTACAAAGTTAAAACTAAATTTACATATAATTGTATAATAAAACTGAAAATTAAACAGAAAAATATCAACTGTTTGTTTTATTCAGTCTGTTGCAGCATCCTGAATATTTATTTTGTTGCTTATAATAACCTTCAATACATTATTAAATAACAAATTGAGTATTATATTTACACATTAGTTATGCACAAAGTTTAAATCCGATAAATTTATGAATGTTATATAAAGAGGCGTTCAATTAATGTTGCGCGTCGCGTTTTTGGAATATCTTTTAAACTATAAGAGATAATTAGATTCTGTAAAAAGCATATAATAGAGAAAGCGACGCAGAATTTTTACATACCCTATTGATCGTTGTGGGTCACGTGGTATTCTAAATAACCTATACATTCCAAATCATTATGTTATAATAGATAAAATGTTCACATTGACTGCATTATATAGGTTTTGTGCAGTTTATATACCTGTATCTAAATGTTGAGATCACTTGAACCGGAGTACATTGTATTATAGTACACTATATATCTATATTAAATCAGTACAATGTGCTAGGGTACAAGTGTCTAATACCATAATATACTTTTCTAGACTTAAATTATATGCTGTCCGGAATGCCCGTTCATAACACACATGGTATTTTAAACCCGTCCTACAGTGTATACTTAACATAGGCTTGCATCGAAATAGTAATCAATCAACTTATACCCATTTTAAATTAATAAATTAATATCATCACATAATGAAATATCAACATTATAAATTTATGTTTATTTAATTATCTATTTACAAAGCGCCTATTAACAAATGGGTACCTCACATCTTATTTATACTTTAAACTCAACAATTAAATTTGAAATTAAAAAAGGTCATATCATAAACAAAATTTCAACTTAACAAAATATAATTTTTCATATTCTCCTAATATAATATTATCTAATATATAATCCTGTCAAAATATGCATAAATAATCCTTACAAGTTAGTTTCTATTGTTAATTATAATATTTTATTAAAACAAAGCAGCATGGACTTTGCCATTATGATAAGAGTATATAAAGATTACAAATTAAATAATGAAATTATAGTGAGAGGGTAGTTAACAAATTATTATGACATGACTTTATCAGTCAATAAATGCTTTACAAATGTCCAATATCAATATGTGAATAGCGATGGTAACCTATGCCACATATAAGTATTATACTCATAACATCTATGTGCATAAAAACTAATATTGATAAAGTATACTTAAATAATTAAATCATTTAACTGGATTGTAGTGTTATATAATAAACTGAACGTGCTTTATCTGTTATTTTAAAATATACAACAATTAAATATTAAAATTAAGTAAATGTACATTTTAAAATTTTTTTACATAATGATAAGTATAGTAACGCAATTATCATGAACAGTTAATTAAATTTTGAAAATATTGTAACTAGTTACAAAAAAATTAATATTTCTAATATTTTTGAGTGATGTGTATAAAACGTAAACTTAATTTAAAAATAATTAGTTGTGCATTTTAATTATATCCTTTATATATAATTGTTAACTGAATTAACAACATAAAAATCAACGATTTAATTAAAATAAATCTAAATAAATGTATACTTCAAGCAAACACCGGGAGAGGGACTCGGAGTCCAGCGCAGGACAGATACATATGCTGGATGTGGGCAACGGGTGGACAACAACAACAAGTAGTGTCCCGTTAACATCGGATAGAGATGACCATAGGGTACAATCACCTCCCGGTGCCCACAAATTCTGGCGCAACATATGCGCTATAGTGATGGCACCCTTCGCCCTGACCGGCGCCCCTGTATTCAGCGCTGCGTTAATTAGTAGCACCGACAGTACCGACCCGATTGATACTACAGGCAAATGGCTGCGGCATATATTTACCAACATCTGTCTATTACCTATCACAATTATATCGCTAGGTATCGCACTTTCATTAAATGGTTATTTACTGTACCAAATCGGTGATGCTATAAACAAGCTACTTTTTGTCGGTGATGTGCCCGAGCATGTTTTTGAAACCATAAGTGAATTGTTTGATGTACTGCCTATAGCATTGCCGGTCACTCTGTTTTGGCTAAATGGCCATGTTATACGCGATTTAATTAATAGGTTTGATAGCACTCAGCAGTTAAACCCTCGTATGATTGTGATAAAAATGATCATAATTGTTTTAGTCGTGTTGGCTATACATGCAATTAGTTATACGACATATGAGTGGAGATTTAAGTATGAACAAACAACTGAAACCAAGCTGAATTTTTTCGGCGCTATGTATTTTAAGGTGGTTACCACGTTGCTATTTATTGTTTACCTGGCATTCACCTCGGTAAGTTATTAATGTTATGTACAATATCATTTTAATTATTAATAACTTAAATTATGCTAGGCAAATATTTTTAAAACAATTAACTCTCTAATATATTAAATTGCTTGTAACTAGGCAATATTTTGCAAATGCGTTGAGCTAAATGAATTCATATTGAGATCGGCCAATACGGCACCTGACGGGTCGCCAGACTTGAGTCGTTTGCGCGATATTAAGCGCAAGTTCAAAACAAACGCCGATAACATGGTGTGCATAAACAAGGCGTTCAATGTGGTAATGTCTGTGTTTATCATCACGATACTTTTGGACATGATCATTGACACATTTGACACGGTCATATTATTTTTTGCCTATTGGGCCCGTCCTGATGATAGCACACTGGGCCCTGCCATGATCAGGGTAATGGCCGCCGATGTGTTGGTGCTAATATTAAAATTTACTTTAATTATTATAACCATATTGCAAATGATGTCAGTGAATGAACAGTCACGGGCGGCGCCCATACATCTGTGCGACACGTTTAGTCATTTTGATTACACCATAAAGTCCGAGTCGTACCGATCCGTATGTTATTTATTTATTTTGTTATAATTTTCATTAAACTTAGCTTTAATTAGAAATCTTTCATAAATTTTAACGTTATTTACATCTAGTCTTATGTTTAACAAATATAATTTAATGACACAAGTTGTTAAAATATTTTAAACTAACAATTTATTTGACTGCTGAAAAGTTTTATTAATTTTTACAAATAAAAGTAAGCTATTTCTTAAAATATTAATTGCATAGCATCTATTAATTTTTGTGTTGCTAATAACATTAACATTAATCATTATTAATTATTTTGCAAAATACAGTTCCGTTTACTCAAGTATTACATGTCGTCCCGTTTGGAGAGGACTGAGACGCCGGCACTTCTATGTATTTCCGTTTTCCTGTTTTTCGGTTTCCTAAGCCAGAGGTTTACCGCTCGAACCAACTACTCGTAATTTAATTACACCCGCAGCTAGATCATGTTAATAATTATAGTTAGTAAATTTGCAATATAATATTTGTTTATTATTTTTTTAATTAATTGTTAAAGTTATTATTATATTATTGAGAATCGATGTATGTATAATACTGGCTATGTAATGGCTAATTAATAACATTGTAATATATTGGTTTTGTACATTAAAAATTAATTACTTTTAATAATTGTAACAATTATATTCTTTGATTAATTTGAACAATCATTTATACAGTATGAATACCGTGTACCTGCATTAAAAACGGCAATAATAAAGTTTTCTTACAACATGTTTTCATGGTTGAGTACGTTAGAATATTATATTATTAAATTGCATAGTAGTACTATATTCTGTAAATAAAGTACTTTCATCATAAAGTAAATTCTTTATCTATAAAACATTTATATATAACATTTATAAACTCGGATTTAAACTCTATGAATAAATAATGTGTAAATATAATCAATTTGTTATTTAATGATGTATTGAAGGTTATTATAAGCAACAAAATAAATATTCAGGATGTTGCAACAGACAGAATAAAACAAACAGTTTATATTTTTCTATTTAAATTTCAGTTTTATTATACAATTATATGTAAATTTAGTTTTAACTTTGTAATTGTATTTTTTAATGTTAAATTAAAAAAATAAAACTAAAGTTTAAATGAATATAAAACTTGATAATATATACTACAAACAAACAAAGGGATATGGACTATAAGTCTAAATCAAGTGATGTGCATATGCTGGATGTAAACACGGGGTGGACAACAACAACACCGAATCATCTGTTAACAACAAACAGAGATGACCACCGGGTAATGTCTACAACGTCCGGTGCCCATCAATTCTGGCGCAATACCTGTGCCGTAGTAATGGCACCGTTTGCGTTGACAGGCGCTCCCGTGTTTAGCGCCGTATTAATAAACAACAACGACTGTCCCGAACCTATTGACACTACTGGCAAATGGTTGCGGCATATATTCACCAACATATCTCTATTGCCAATAACTATAATATCGCTGGGTATAGCATTGTTTCTAGATGGGTATTTAATGTATCAAATTGGCAATATTATTAATATGTTTTTGATTGTTGGCGAATTACCCGAGTACATTTGGGACACCATACTTGATTTGCTTGATTTATTGCCTATTGCGCTGCCGATCACCTTATTTTGGCTCAAAGGCTATGTCATACGTAATTTAATTAGTGGGTTTGATAGCACACAGCAACTCAATCGTCGCCCAATTGTTATTAAAATAACACTAATTAGTTTACTCGTGTTTGTCATACATTTAATTAACTATGTGACGTACGCTTGGAGATCTAAGCATCATGCCAGCACCGAGACCAATCTGGAATATTTTGCCACATTATATTTTAGAATAATTACCACGTTATTGATAATTGTTTACATGACATTCACCTCGGTAAGTCAGTAATGTTACTGATACAGTACAGTATTAATCCATTTTTAGTAAAGTCTATTACTAATATAAATTATAAAATAATTAAATATGTTAATTAACA